AATTTACAGTCATGTTTTCATTTTGACAAACTGTATTAACACAATTGATCTAAAATCAGACAAAAAACATAAAATCAGAGTAGAAAAAGTTATATTTGTTACTGTAACAACCACAAACATGTTTAATGATCATATTTCATAACTTTAAATGCAAATATAAATGGTAAATTTTAAAATCATATGTGCAAGTTTTGAAAACAACAAAGTTATTTGCAGTCATTTACCTTTTACCTTGATTTTTTAAAATAACCATTTCAAACTATTTACAGAACAATCAGCTGTTCTTCAATAAGATGCAACAAATTATTTGTGCCACTGCAAAAACATAATTTCTGTCCACTATAAAGGAAACATCACAGCTGATACCTGCAGGTCTGACAGCAGCAGGTGTGTGACTCCTGTTTCTACCTGGAGACAGCAGTCGCCTCATTGTTCTGACACACAACACAAAACTATCCACAACACTACACACTAACTACACAACACTACACATCAACTACACAAGACAACACATCAACTACACACTGTCCTTAGACAATAAACATGATGAAACCACTCAGGAAAAAACGCCGCGTATATATTGTTTATCATGACTCTGGTTTTACATGGCCGATCAACACAGTTTATAAACTGGTATATGTCACCTTGTTGCTTTGTCTTTAAGCGGTCATGTGATTCTTTATTCTTGCAACGGCAGCACTAATGCGATTGTTTTGTCCCATTAGCTCCAGGCGTTGTGCCAAAAAGTGATCGTCTACCAGACAGCGATTGCCGCCCGCGGGAGCGCGCAGCTGCTTAAAGCTGTAGCGTCCAGATTACTTACAGCTACAGTGGCTTGCAAAAGTATTGGGCCCCCTTGAACTTTCCCACATGTTGTCACATTACAGCCACAAACATGAATCAATGTTATTGGAATTCCAGGTGAAAGACCAACACAAAGTGGTGCACACGAGAGAAGTGGAACGACAATCATACATGACTCCAAACATGTTTTACAAATAAATAACTGCAAAGTGGGGTGTGCGTAATTATTCAGCCCCCTGAGTCAATGCGAATGTGTTATGTGTGCATGATGATGAATCCTGAAACGTGAACGCTCGGATGTCCAGGAGTCCAACATATTTCAGCTTTTAAAGGACAAATAGGTGCATCAAGTTTTCTACTCTTCACTGTTTTTCACTCGTTTTGTGGGCTTATCTTCATCTTCATTCTCCCCTGCTTCAAATTGTTTCCTGTGATGTTTGGGCTTTGGTGTAACATTGAAGTATATACTGCAATGATCTGCTATGTCGTCATTCTTAACAGTCAGATCAGAGACTTCAACATTTCTGCTGAAGACCAGATCCAGAGTGTGACCGTATTCATGTGTTGGGCCCTCTACATGTTGCTCAAAATTGTATTTTTCCAATAAATTCATAAAGTGTGTTTTTTTTTGGTTCAAGTTTTCATCAAACCAGATATTAAAATCTCCAGCCAAAATGATGCAGCCATTAAATTTTATAGAAGCTTCCTGCAAGAGGCTTTCAAACTCCACCAGGAATTCATCGAATTCTTCTTGATTTCTTGAAGTATTCGGAGAAGGGCGATACACACCGATGACCAGGACAGGTTGGTCACCATCTCGCTCCAGCTCTGCAGCCACATATTCAAAGCGTTTGGGGTTTACTGAGGACCAATCCATTTTTTTACCCTCAAATGTCGGTAAGAATAAAATCGCGACGCCACCTCCTCTTTTGTTCTCCCTCGGAAACTGAAAAAATCTGTAATCTTCAGTTAACAGCTCTTGAAGGACCTGATCCGGGTTCTTGTTCTTCTCCGTGTCCTCTTTTACCCACGTCTCTGTTATAATTAATACATCTTTGTTTTTCTTTAATAAATTGTCAAATTTTTTATGTTTTTTTTTATTTTTTTTTCCAATCGAGCGAAAATTGATCAGCACCCAGCTTCCAGCATCTCCTGCATTCTTCTGCTCGTCAAATTTGTTTTTTCTATCATCACCATCACCACCATCACCACCATCATCATCATCATCACTATAACAAGAGTCAGCTGTGGCGTCATAGTCTTTATCTTTCTTTGTGTCATCAGCACCACTCTCCTCACTTGGTTGATTACTTTCTTCCTTGTTGTCACCACCACTCCTTGTTTCGGAGGCAGACTGTTCTTCACCTGCTTGTTGAGCTAGCTTGCTCAGCTTGTTTCTGTAAAAGAACCCAGTGAAGGTCGAGTCAGTGTGATTTCAGCTGTAAGTCGTCACCACAAACAACAAACAACAAACAACAAACAGGACTCGTACCAGATTTACCTAAAACAGCTGGAATGCAACAAATTTACTAATGAAATCCTGCCTGACTGTGAATGATGTTGTTAATAGTTTCCTTGGTGATTATTTATGGAGGACTTAGTAATTCAGAACAATGGATGTAAGTCTGTGCTCCAACCTGGTAGATTTGCTGTGACCGTGCCAAATTTGATCACCTAATGTGTCGTCATTGATGAGGTCTGAAGCCTCGCAGGTTCAGAAAGTGGTTCGAGTGTCGCTGGGATTTGTGAACATGGATCCCTGCCACATGTGCATGGTGGAGTTTCACCTGTGACATAGTCGAGCTTGTTTTCTTGGAGAAGGGTTTCCCTTTGAGCTGATCTCTCGCAGTTACACAGGATACTCCCGGAGCTTGGGGAAAAAAACGACTGGACTTCTCAGAGTTTGTGAAGACGCTTCATCTGAGAACCTTCTTCAGTTTTAAGACCAAATGGTGGAGAGTCCCACGCGTAAACCCCAGTGGGAGGGGGGCGTGTCCCAGAGAGGGTTGTTGGCGCACTATTGACTATGTGTCTCATCGCGACGTGAGAGGCCATAAGAAGATTTCATTGGGTGTTTAACACCTACAGGAAGTCAGAGCTGTGGTGGAGTCATTTTATATATTTAGAGAAAAACTTACACAATGTAGCTGAATTGACGAAAAAGGACCGAGATGAACTTTTTGATCTCGTCAGCTGCAGCTCTCAGTGATTCGCTGGCTTCGGTCACATGATTCTTCCGGATTAATTCTGTCAACATTTGAATGACTTCAGGAAGTGGCAACTCCTTTCCACTATCTACATATCCAACCTGACCGTCAGAGAGAAGAGGTTAAAACAGAATCATTTCTGTTCTTCATCAGTTTGTCAGTGTTAAGGGAAAAATTGCTGAAGTGATAAACCATAAAAGCATGAATAATATGTTTTTTAAACCTTTATCATGTGTTTAGATCTCACTAATGATGATGTAAAATAACAGAACCTCACCACCACTTTTCCTTCGAGGATGTGCTGAAACTCACATAGAGACATTTCTTGGATGAGTTTTCGAGCTGATGCTGAGCTGAAGTTAATTTGGTTCTTGACTTTAAGTCTTTTTGCTATTGCTGACAGAATTTCTTCCACAACGTGCTCACAGCTGTTTGCAGAAATCTTCAGCTTCTCTAACAGTTCCTCGGTTTTTTGCTGGGCTTCATTGATTTCACCTTCTACCTTTTGCAACTTCTCCAGTGATTCAGTGATTTTAGGACAAGACAATGGGGAAGATGATCTGCTTGAAAAAAGCTTAAGACATCCTCTCCTGTTATATTTTGCGTTTAGTTCCTCGAGCTCCTCAGACAGGTCTGTAAGCTGATCTTTACATTTGTCCAAAATCTTTATCCTGGAGAAACTGGCCTCCAGCAGCTCGTCAGCAGCAGTGCTCATCATGGAGGTTTCTCTGTCCACCACAGAGCAGAAAAGGACACCTTCATGGGAGAAATGTTTCACCATCATCATCATCATAGAAACAGTAATGACTGAGGGCTGTGAGGCTCACAGGTCAGTCAGCCTCTTTGCTGCTGTGAACACTCTTTATATTTGTTCTTTGCTTTCACTCAGCAGGCTGTGGCCCTATAGAGGGCTTTCAAAGCAGTCTCTGACGGTGTCTGAGGGACTGGAACAGGTTTTGGATCCAATGTGTTTGAGGACTTGCATGTTGTTCTTCAGATGCTCGGTGTAGATTAGCCTTCTTTCCTTGCAGTCTGAAAGCAAATACAAAGCACAATAAAGCAAACTGCCCGTTTCAAAAGCAAATGTACAATCTTACATCTAATAGAGCTGAAACATTTAAATTGTGTAATGATTTACAATTGCAATGCATTGCAATGCGGAAAGAAAAGCATTCTTAATCCATTCAGAAGAAACTAATCGATTATTAAACACAGTCCCAATCAAAAGTTTAAGACCACTAGAAAAATGGCAAAAGAGATCTTAAGATCTTAACAAGCTTCCAACAACATGCAACAAGCAGAAATGGCAGTGAGACAGAACATTTAACTTACATTTCACAAACTTAAACTGAGACAGGCTGTTTTACAGCTGATCAAATGTTTAGGACCACATGCCTTTAAAAGGCCAAATCTGTGCAAAACTGTGGCTTCATTGTCATTTTCTGTCAGGTAGTCAGACTGACAGGATGTTCTGATGGCAAAAGCAAAAAAACTTTCCTTTTTGAACATGGTCGGCTTGTTGAACTGCATAAGTAGGGTCGCTCACAGCACGCCATCGTTGCTGAGGTGGGACGCAGTTAAGACGGTCGTCCTGGGGGTTATGGAACAAAAACATGAAGTGGAAGACCTAAAAAATCCTCGACCCAAATGAAGGCCATTACTGGTGCCGACTGCACCACCATAACCATCAAATGGCATCTGAGACTGAAGTTCTTCAAAAACGAATTCTCTGATGAGAAAAAAATATAACCTTTTTTTTCTCCTGTAAAAAAATGCAACCTTGATCGTCCTGATGATTTCCAACCTTACTGGCATGACAAGCAGATCCCACCTGAGATGTTTTCTTCGCCCTACAGACGAGGGGGCCACAATGATTGGGGAGATGCTTTTTCCTTCAGTGGAACAATGAAGCTTCAGGAGGTGCAGGGGTGTCAAAAGGCTGCTGGCTGTGTCCAGATGTTGCAGAGAGCGTCCCTGATGACTCAGGGCCCTCATCTGTGTGGTAACGACTGGGTTTTTCAACAGGACAACGCTACAGTACACAATGCCCGTAGGACAAAGGACTTCTTCCAGGAGAATAACATCACTCTTTTGGACCATCCTGCGTCTTCCCCTGATCTAAATCCAACTGAGAATGGACAACAGTTCCAGACAGTAGACGCCTTTCGTGTGGCCAGCTTCACCACTTGGAGAAATGTTCCTACTCGCCTCATGGAAACACTTGCATGAAGTGATCAACAATAACAGCGAACCAATTCATTACTGAGTTCAAGTCTGGAACTTTTAGCAGGGTTTAGTAACAGCCCCCACCCAGTTCAACAGGAAGCTACATGCACTCTTATTGCCAAAGAAGGAAGTCTGGTCATGTGAAGTGACTTTGTGATCAGTTTGTAAAGTGAAAATTAAAAACGTTGAGCAGAGATTAAAAGTTTGAAAGCAAAGCCTCGATGTTCACCCGCAGAGAGGAAAAAGCTTGTTTTCTGCACTCAGTCATCAGACGCTGGTTTCTGCCTTCAGTTAACAGAGACAATGAAAACAGCAGCTCACCTGCTTTAAAGTGGAGCAGGAGTCAGACCCTCTGCCTCTTGGTGAGAACACATCCGTGTCTGTGTTTGTTCCTCTGAAGCACTGAAGCTCAGCCCTGACAGTCATGTGACCTCTGCTGACGTCCTGCATGTCTGTGCAGGCTCTCAGTCGTCCCGTCACAGTAAGCTAAGGAGCTCTTCAACATAAAGGGCTGGACTCGCTCCAGTTTCTTGACTCCTGTTGTTGTCTGGATGATACAGCCCAGGCGCTTCTCTTTAAAAGTTTCTTAGATAAAGTCCTGCACACTTTGTTTTACACTGAATGTAATTCTGAGTGTATTTGTGTTCTGGGCCACATGATATCTTTTAACTTCTTATTTTTATTCTTGTTTTGTCTCAAATTGTTTTTCTGTTTATAAAAATACATCATGTTTGCTTGATTCATGGCCCGACATGTGCAAAGATCACAGGAAACAGTGAACTCACAGGTGATATCATATCCAGCATTCACTCGTCTGCCTCGACGGCTACATAAACTCCAGTGAGCTCCCACTGTTGATCCACAGGGAGGAATATGATGTCGGCCCACCGTGTGCTGCTGTACGTCTCCTGCAGGGATCTCCTCAGGTTCAGGAGTGTTTATGGGGAGTGTTGATCCTTCTTCCAGAAGCACATGTGTGAGGTCACACTGATGTTGGCTCACAGTCTCCGCTCTGATTGGTCCCAAAGGTGTTGGATCAGGCTGAGGTCAGGACACACAAACCGGCTCGTCCGTGTCCTTACGGACTCTTCTTTGTGCACTGGTGTGCAGTCATGTGGGAACAGGAAGCAGCCATCCCCACACTGGTCCACATACTGGGAACATGAAGGTGTCCACAGGTCTGCTGAAGCACGAAGACTCCTGAAGAACACCCCACACCATAACCCCCCTCTACCAAACTTTACACAGCGCAGTCAGACAAGTACCGTTGTCCTGGCAACCGCCAAACCCAGACTCGTCCATCAGATCGCCAGACGGAGAAGCGTGATTGGTCAGTCCAGGGAACACGCTGACACTGCTCTAGAGTCCAGCGGTGGTGTGGTTTACACCACTGCATCAACAACTGGTAAGGTAACTTTATTTATACCCATAGGTAAATTTGCTTTACAGAAAAATTGCAGCCTTTGGCTTCAAAAACACACATACCTAATAAATATAAACCTCACTGTAACACATTTATAGTACTTTAACGTTTCGAATAATAAAAACGATGTAAGGTCTGGGGACAAGAGAAGGGACAAACGTTTCTCAGCAGTGTCCACTTGTCCAGTCAGACTGTCAGCCACCTTTACTTCTTCACTGGAACATTAGATGGACTCTGTCTGTCCATCCTTTACATCTGAGGTCATGTGACTCCTGCACACTTTCACCTTTGACCTTGACTGAATCAGTTCATTTTTCTAATTTGTGCTGTTGTTCTGCGTCAGTGTGCAGACCTCTGCTGTTCAGCTCTGCAGTATCTTTCAGCATTCACGTCACATCGTTCCTTTTTCAGAATCACTTTTATCCCCATGATTACTGCGCTGACTCTCGCACATGCAGCGATCATCAGGAGGGCAGCTAACTTCTGTTCATTTATGCCTCACAGCTTCATAACGCCCCCCTCCCTCGTCACGGCTCCTGGCTTTAACAACCCTCCCGGTAGGAGCGCACGGACACCAAAGACTGTTAGCACATGGCTAACATTAGCATTACTGTAGACAGTCATGAGTTACTCTGCTGCTGTTCATCTCTCACCTGCTACCAGCCCTCACTGTCAA